GTCCCTCTCACAGTTACTACTATTGAGCAAGGTACCCCCTATACTATACCTGTACGTTTGGTTTTTCTTGCCTAAATGTAGAACCTTACTTTTTTCATCACTGAATTTCATTTTGTTAGATAGTGCCCAATGTTCAAGTCTGTCCAGATCCTCCTGTATCTTAAGCCTGTCTTCTGGAGTGTTGGCTATTCCTGCCAGCTTAGTGTTACCTGCAAATTTGATGATTACCCCATCTATCCCCTCGTCCAAATCATTGATGAAGATGTTGAAGAGCACTGGACCCAGAACAGAACCCTGGGGCACCCCACTACACACTTCCCTCCATGTAGATGTGGTTCCATTGAGGACATCATTAGTGGAGCTTGTCTCCGTATAATGGCAACATTTCAAATAGTACTAAAAAGTTTAGCTCTTCTTCTAAATTTCTGCAGAGCCTTAAGCAACAGTAGATTAGTATAGCTGCAGGAAATTTAAATGGTGACTGTAGGAGCCCTACTGAATCATATCAAAGGCCTATTTAATCCAAGTAATCCATTTATGGCAGTTCCTGTGATCTTGGTGGCAGCATGAACATCTAGCTGGCCTGATGCCATCTAGAAGAGCAGGCAAGAGAGGCTATGGGGCATAGTGGTTAAGATATCGTATTGGCACCAGGGAAGCCCAAAAGTTCATAGCTATAGAGATTCACTAAGTGACCCTCTCAAACCAATCTACTTAGGGTTGGGATGAAGAAAATGGAGAAAGGAGTGCTTGAGGTCCTGAACAAACAGCAGACCATAAATCCAAGCAACAAACAAGAGGCTGTAATAAGGCACTGGGACTCCTGGCAGTTGCCAAATGCTATCAGTTGCTGAAGTCAGTCCCAAATCTTTTTTTTTTTTTTGGGGGGGGGGGGGAGTGGAATGATCAAAAGGTCATATGCCCATTCAGACACCCACCTCCCCCTTTTGCTCACCATATTTTGTCTGGGAACATGCAGCAGGTCAGAGACTTTTGCTGAGAAACTAAAAACTTGGATTTTTGCCACTTCTTGGAAGGACTTCCCAGAAGAGATGAGAAAACAGTTGAAATACATATCTCTTGGGAGAAGAATGTGGATTATGTCTTGTTGCACTGGACCCTGGCGGTTCTGGAGTGGTCAGATGCATAAGAATTTAGTACACAAGTCAAGGATAGCTAGAAAATCCAGCTTTTGCCTTTGCCTTGAGGGACATCAAGGCAATAAAAAATAGGTGCCTGAGGTTATTCTATTACTCAACTTCTAGATGTATTTTTATGGACAATACTCTTGCTAAGGAGTACTCTCACCTAAGGAGATGGAACTACAGCAAAATTATTTCACCCTTTCAAAGCAATCTACCAACATCATTTGAGTTCTAGATTAGTGTCATTTTCCAAAGAAAGGGCTGTCTGCCCATAAGTTCACAAAGCAGGAGACAAATTTGATCAGCAAAGCATAGGAACATTTTGTTACAAAAGCCTGCAGAAGCGAGGACAAAGTATCAGCTGGGCTTGTAATTCACCCTATAGACTAATATTTCCCAATCTTTGCCACTTAAGATTTCAAATCCCAGAATTCCCCAGCTGTGCATTTTAAAGTTGCCAAATTTGAGAAACGCTTCTGGAGATCAGTGGTTCTCAAAATGTGGGGGACACCTGGGAGACCTCAAGACCTTTTCAGGGGTCTGTGATCTCAAATAAATATTTTTAGTATTTCCCATTTTTTATTTCTTAACTAGTAGATATTGATAGATATAACCCATATAAAGCAAAGCTCTTTGGGTCCTCAATCATTCTTAAGAATGTAAAGGGGTCCCAAGATAAAATGTTTGAGAACCATAGCTGCTGTAGGCCTTACCTCACAACAGCAACAGGGGAGCCCTCATACTTTTCTTCTCAGACACAAAATTAGCTTGTCTCAGTTATAGCTCAGCTCGGACTCGCCTCATTTCACGAAATGGACAGCAAATAAATTTAATAACCAGAAGTTATGACAAGATGTTCATTATATTTTGGAAGTGAGGGTGCATAAATACATAGAACGCGGAGGTTTGCAGAATTTATCTGGGTTTGGCTCCCTTTGGAAGATCACAATACATCTTGTTTGTGTTTTGAAGTAGTAGTGCTTATTTACTATGATACACACCTCTACTGTAATATAGATTAACAATGACCCATCAAGAGGGAATAGGCAACCTAAGAGCCCTCTATGTTGTTTGTATTTCAACTTTTATCAGCACTGCCTGTTTCCCTAGAGATAAATAAGATAAAAGCTGTAATCTAAAAATGAAAGGTGGAAGGAAAGAGAAGAAGAGAGAAGAGGATGAGCAGCAGGAAGGTGGATGGACTCAATTAAGTGAAGAGGAGTGCACCATTGGGAGACTTGAAATACAGATTAGGCATAGATTGTCATGGAGTAGCTCTATTCCTGTGGTTGCTAGGAATCAAAAATGACTTGATGGCACATTATCAGTCAATCAAATTATTGACAATATTTAATTTAGTGTTCAATATAAATTAAGTCAGATTTAGTTTTCACTCTGGTCTGTCTGCACTACTCAGTGGCTAAGCATGGCTTATTGGTCTGAGTAAGGGTGGTATGTCCCTAGAAAGTGCATGAAGTAAATTTAGATATTGGGAAGAATTTTCTGAGTGAGAGCTATCAACCAGTGGAACAGGGTATATTATAGTTTATGCTTTCTTTCATTGGAAGCCTTCAAACAGATGCTAGATAACCATCTGCCCAAAATATTTTGGCAGTTCTTGCACTGGGCAGGGGCATGGACTAGATGTTCTCTGCAATGATTTTAAATTCTAGGATGTTATGCTTTTAACTTCCATGAAACGACACATACCAATATTAAAAGCAACAGTAGGAATTGGGTCCTCTACCCTTGTGAACTATTCCCATCAGTGCCAAATAGCATGACCAACTCAGATTGCAATTTGGGAGTCCCAAATCTCTGATTTAATCTTTAAATCTTATTAGATGCAGCTCAAACTTTTCTTTTAAAAAGAAGCCGCCAACATTTCTACTTTGCAGCTTGATCTGTTCCACAATCTGATGTAAGGGTTTTAAATCATGTGAATGCTGAGTGCTACATATACTAAAATAAGGCTGAAACGAGGCCTTCTTCCAATAACTAGTCCCAAAAGTTACCATCACTCACCTTAAGGAAGGAACTGCTGAAATGCACCCCACAGGCTTTGCAACTCTGCTCTGAAGCTGTGGGAGATGGGAAGGAGTTGTAGCCAGCATTGGAGTATGCTCGAGTTCCTGGCTGCGGGCAGTGTGGCATGTCTTCAGGCTGTCCATTCAGGCAAAACCAGTTGCAACATGCAGCCCACATGATAGCTGTGAATTTTTCAAAAAAAGTCAGTCAACAGGATAAAAGAAGCCAGTTTTCGTGGCTTGAAATAAGACCTTAGAAAGCAAGAAGCTAGACAATCAAGGCACAGAATAATGTGTTTTCTGGGATTTAAAGAGACAAATTCTCCTTTTACAGAGGTGATTCAGACTCATTAGGAACTCAGAGGTACTACTCCTTATTATCAGTCACTCACAGAGAGAGAAAGAGAAAAGAGAGAGACAGAGAAGAAAGGAGGATCTAAAGCTAGTCTGTTCATAAGTAAACTATCCTGGATCTCCTCTCTATACTTCTAGTTTTCTAAATGGGGGAATATGTTTTTCTCAGTTAAAATGTATTTATTTTAAATCCCAAAACACAACAATCAAAACTTGTGCTGTCTAAAGTAATTTCGTTTGACATTATAAGGCTTCTAAAGGGCCAATCTGTACATCTTCATCTACTTAAACAGTTGATTCTGTTATAATAAACACAACCAATAAAAGAATACTAAGGAAAGTGGAATAATTTCAGCCATTTTTCTTTTTTATAATAATTAATAATCAACTTCATCACATATAAACAATTTTAGTAATACACCACTTTCCCTTAAAATACAATAAATTATCATCTTCCCATATCCCATCTCTTTTCTATAAACAAATCCTTAAAGCCTCATCGTTCCATGGAATTCCAGAAGGATTTTAAATAAGATTTTGGAATTAATTATAACAATCCTTCCCGTGGGAAAATGCTGATGTTTTGAATTCTCTTAAAAAGCAAGACAGGATGAGACTTTGAAGGTTAGACACTAGAGGGAACCAGAAGGAAATAAAGATTACAATTGAAAGAGATGAATATTTAAATTTACTAATACAGAATGGAGCAAAATATTTTAAAATTGATGTATTGAAGGATATTTTTGAACAATGGGTGCAGAAATTAATTTTAAGAATGTCTGGCTCTATAGATGTATTTAGAAGATGTTATGGAAGAAGAACAAGTTTTACTGGCAAGACTGAGACTGATCTGAAAATGGATTTAAACATGACAGGCTACAAGAATGAAATGGAAAAAGATGTTACCTTGTATATACAAATGAAATCAGCTGGTATCTTAATAGTTAAAAGGGGCATACAAATAACAAATCAAAAGACTGACCTCCATAACTTTTCTATATTGGATTTACAAAAGAGACCTTTTAAAGCTTTGAAGAATTTTATGAGAAGGGACAAAAAAAATGAAAAGAAATCAAGTTCTAGGACTTTATTTAAAGAGATTAAAAATCAAGATTGTTAAAAGTAAATAAATATAAAGTTGGGTTTATTTGATCAAGGTTAAGATAGATATGTTATCTCTGATAACCCTTAATGGACTTTTGCTGATTGACCTTTTTGTTGCTGTTGTTCTTGATGTTAAGTAAAATCTACCTACTGAAATCAGATCAGAGGAAAAATATAAAATATAATACTGAAGGCAGTTGCATTATCCTCAGAAAAGAACAAGGCTGTTTTAAAGAGTAATGCACAAAAGCAACATTCATACCCCAGTGCTTTGAAATATTTTTTCCCAAATATATATAAAACCAATATCTGGTCAGTAACCAAATGCTATTTTCTGGAAGAAAGGACAATTTAAATCTCATAAATTAGTACAAAGTGACGTGTTCACATGTTTATAATGCAAAGGATCAGAGTCTGAGCTACAAATTCACACATCCCTTGGTTCAAATCTCCCCAAAACTATCAATTCATTAGATTGACTTCAGCTTCTACAACTCTGAGCAAATTGGGAATAATATACTAGCCTGCCTCATATAACAATACTATGATAACATTGTCAACTTTTCATAAGAGTGCTGTATCTGTGTGATGAATTTTTTAAAAATATAGTCCAGGTGTCTACCTCACAAATCATTTAAGGTTTGAGAGTACTTCTCTCTTCTTAGACAAAAGAAGGCTAGGATTATCTCAAATATTGCTCATAGGTTTATCTGTCTTCTCCTCTTACCCCATTTAGTGCTGCCCCTTTAAACAGAGTTCCAGTAGAATTGTGTCCCTGGATCATTGCCCAAACATTGCCTATGAAGAACAGCTGCCAAGCAACTTGGCAAAGGCAAAGCAATAATTGCTTCCTTAGTTTTCCTGGTGCTAATAAAATAACAATACCACACCTGCTCATGCACCCCACAAAGAATTTAGAAACAATTCCAAATGCAAGACAATGGCATTGAAGTACAGGTAGTCCTTGAGTTACCACTGGTCCCTTAGCCACCATACAACATTATAACCTACCTAAAAAAGGAGAAGACCGAGATCCAAAGTTCCAACGGTCACATACACACCCATGTTCATGTGATCATACTTCAGGCACTCAGCATCATGGCTGCATTTTCAGCCTTTTGCAGCATCCCCTGGTCACAAATCTTACTTGCACACTTACTTCCAATTCTCTTGGCAAAACTGAGCCTTAGTGAACAATGGGTCTGCTTAACAACCGCTGCAAAAAAAAAAAGTTGTAAAATTGGATAGATCATGTGGCCAACCTGTTTTACAAACATTATGATTTGCAATCATAATAGCAAGCTCCAATATGATTGTAACTTGAGGACCACCTGTAGGGTCTCATAAATTTGTGGATAAAATCTGTTGGAGAAAGAAGTGAAAGTTAAGACAGCTATTGCTATATTTAATCAAGGAAGTAATTGCAATAGGGGAAAATTAACTGTATGAAAGGTCAGATGATTCATCTAGCAATGCACACGTAAGACCAGCAACAAAAAATTTACTCAGAGCCCAACTCAGAAATCCCAAAAGGTCCATTTGACTTACTTCAGTCAAATTCAGATCATTCTATAATTAAACCAGACACTCCTTCACTCAACAAAAGGAATAGCTCCTTCCAAGCAAGGGGGCTTTTCAAAAGCAACAAAACCATCACAGTGGTTGAATTTTATTTTAGGGTTGGTGTGATGTACGAACTCACTAACTGTAACTTTAACATTATCTGTGAAGTAGAATACTACAGCTAGCCAGGTTAAAGTCTTTGCCATAAATTAAAGCTCACTAAGCTAGCAAACCTTGATACACCACTATCTGGAATGCATAACCAGATTCATCAACTAACCAGGAATGGGTTTGGATTGCTCAAAGCAAAACACAAAATCAATACAAAACTCTTAAGTAGCTATCAAAACACAGGAAAGATGGTATTCTACTGATAAAACGTAAAGTTGCAGATAAATGGCAATAATGTGGATTTTAGATATTTAAATTCAATATCAGAAATAATCACTAAGCTAGTATATTTTGAGTTACTTCAGTTTTTGTCTACTACGTAAGATTGTTTCACTTCCTTTTATTTATGAGCATTTGTTGTATGCAGATGGAATTTGATCAAAACAATCTTTTGTATTCTAATTAGAGTCTAAATAAGAAATTAACAGGGAAAACCTGTTCTTTAATTGGGTAAGAATAAAAAAAAACCTAGTGGCTGAATTTAAACTACTACAAAACACTGCTTTAGTTCTGCCCTACATATAATTAACATAGCTTTCAAATGGTAGGAAACATCATTTTTCATAATGCAAATTGTACTATGATTTAAAATGTTACATTTGTCCTGGCAGGAATCTTTTTAAAGCTAAAACAGGTGTCTAATGTGAGATACTGCACCCACTAGTGACATTTATATATGTTTGTGTGCATTTCATTTTACTAGTCCTTATAGGAAGCTCTGTGAGGTAGACCAATGTTAAATCCGTATGATGCAGTGTTTCAGATTTTGGTGGGGAAGGGGTTAACCCCAATTCTCATATAGCAGTGGTGGCGAACCTATGGCACGGGTGCCAGAGGCAGCACTCAGAGCCCTCTCTGTGGGCACGCACGCCGTCGCCCCAGTCCTAGGCCTTCAGCTGGGTTTTATAAAACCTTTTCGCTTTAGGCCTCCGCCACTGTGTGCAAAAAAAAAAAAAAAGGTTCAATCAGTCAATTTCAACTTCTCGCAGGAAAAAAAAAGATCTTGCAAAGTTGGAATTGATTGATTGAACTTTTTAGTCCCACCCAGTCTGCCGTTACCACCGCAGCCACACCCAGCCAATGGGCCACACCCAGCCAATGGGCCACGCCTACCCAATGGGCCCGCCTATCCAATGGGCCACACCCACCTGGCACCTGACGATGCATAAGTGGGTTTTGGGTTGCAGTTTGGGCATCAGTCTCTAAAAGGTTCGCCATCACTGTCATATAGTGACCTAATTCTGTCCCCTGGCATCCTATTGTTTGGCTTGTCAGAATAAACATTTAGTTTTGTAGAAGCTCATGAATTCATTAATGCAGACTAGAAAGCAGGAAGTTGTCCTGTTTCTACTGAATGTAGATACTGCATTGTAGTTGAATGTTAGATAGAATAAGACCAAAAACAGTATTGCTGTCATTCATAAAGACAAATTGTCCAGGTTCACATACTGCTGAAGCCAAAATATGATTTGTTTGGTTTGGTTTTAATGGGTTATGAACAGTCAGCCAACTGTGATTTATTTAATAAACTATTGTTATACAAACCATAGCTCAAAAACATGCGAGGCCAGTTATATATTCCCTCTTTATACATTCCTCTAAATACAGAGAGAGAACTTGGCAGATCTCAACAAGCTAAACCAGTTGGGATCAAATGAGCACACAGATGAGATCAGGAAATCCTAGAGTTGCTGTCCTAATTCAGAAGTTAAAAAATATGCACAAAAAAGATAGTAGCAAGTGTCTCTCATATTGTTACCAACAGAACTCAACTCAACTGACTCTTTTTTCCCCCCTAAGGATACCCAGACCCACTAAAACACACAGAATCCTATCAAGAGGTTTATTTATTTATTTATTAAATTTCTACCCCGCCCTTCTCCCAATGGACTCAGGGCGGCTTACAGCCATCTAAAACAGGTACATAATACAAAAATATTAATTTTAAAATGTAATTAAAATAGAATATTAAATTATTGGCCTTTT